TTAGTCCTATACAAGTTATACTGTACACGTCTCCCTATTTATTTCGTCCCCCCACCCACCCCCTACTAGATTCACTTAAATCTAAATCTTTCTTTTATTTTACACTTTACTTTAAAACGAACAGTTTAGCTAGATGAACCTATAAAATCCGGAAGTTCTACTATAGTGGTCAAACCCTATGATTAGGTAAATACTTTGCAACAAAATTAAATTATTTATAACATTAGTAATTTATGAACATCATACGATCACTGGTCTTTTCAGTTAAAGATTTGCTTTTATTTTTATTTGCGATCGGGATCTGACAAATATGTTTGATATTATGCTTATGGCTACTTAAAATTCAAGTGTAAAAACGCGTATATATTTTTCGGTATCACATAACAGTACTTCTATTCCTTTAGTCTCTTAAAAGAAGGAAAAAGCGGAACAGATGATGCGAATTTATGTTATACTTTAGCACGTTTCGTACCTTATTTCGACATAAATGACTTTTACGTGCTACTAATGTACGTCTGTTACATCTTAAGAACATGTCTAACTTTCATGTAAGTTTTAGAATTACATTTCATCTAAAGATTAGTTGTAAATTAGTTGGCGTATTCGATAATAACCTTACAAAGTTGCTTGTTTAACATCAATTAAAGTAATACTTATCATTAATTTGCTGTTGCAGTTCTCGTTAATTAATTGAAATAAGACATTCTTGGATACAAAACAAACTTGTACCCCACAGCCAGCAATTATGATGTAAGTAACCGCCATTTGATTAATTACGATTGTGAGAGAACCTCCCTATATAGTAGTTTGAACTCTGACGAATATATTTACAAACTTACCCCGTTCAAATTGCAGACCAAGCTTGGAAGAAATTCTTACTGTAAATTTAACTGCTAATTGATTACGAAGATTGATTTCAGGAAAAAAATTAGACTTCACCTAAATCCGGGGCTGACGCCGCGCCGTCTATTTTGACGGTTCGCCTTTGACCACTTTGTGTGACGTCCGGTTTTGCCTGCGGCGTATCGGTATTTTGGATGTAGGTGATTCAAATGTGAGATTGTTGTGTTGTTCGTTAAATTAGTGAATTAAAAGGTTATGACTACGTTGGAGAATTGAAAACAATCGAGTTTGTGTTACGTAATAAAGAGGTAGGGTTTCTGAGAGGAATTCAGTTTAGCTAAGACCGATTTTAGATTGTTGACAGTATCCAGGTAATTAGGACGTTTCTTAAACCTGTTTTGATCGAGCGCTTGCATGCGTGGTTTTTTTTGTCGCCGAAACTGTCGCCTATATTTTCAATACAGCAATTATTGAATTAATTTGTATTGTTTGTAGATGAACAGTCTTGTGTCAGTTTCGTATTACTGTGTTAGTATGAGCCTAAGTTACCCCCTAAGCTTTTAAGAATTCCATACTTTTTGTTGCCACTGCACACAGCGTTATTTATTTGGCACCCAACGTGGGGAACACAGGAATTCTTTCGTTAAAAGTATTGCATTGTGGTGGTGGTGTGTAAAGCGATGGGGTATACAAGAGGGAATTTTTTTAATATTGATTTATGAAAAAAATTTATTCTTCATGATATTTTTTGCTCGCTTTGAAAGTACCAATAACGTTTCGATAATCTAAAATTTATTTATAGAAATCTGGAAAAATAATAAAATTAATTTTTTTATTGAAAGATATTCTACATTATAATCAAGATAGCGTATTGCTATAAACAATCGAAACGTTATTGGTACTTTCAAAGCAAGCAAAAAATATCATGAAGAATAAATTTTTTTCATAAATCAATATTTAAAAAAAAATTGGATGATTATTTTTTATGAGATTTATATTGATATGTCGTGCTGTGTTCTTCAGATATTTACACGTGTAGGGACGGGAAAGAATGAGTCTACCGCAGAGGGCACTGCGTGTCGTAGAGAAGACTAAACAACAGCAAGTAAGAGTTTGGAGTGGTAGAGATTGTGACAATTTTAGACGATAGTAGTTTCAGGATTTCTCAATTTTGTTGCTGGTGAGTGGTGAGCGAAGGGTCCTTAAATACGACCCTAACTTTGTAGATGCCTTTGAAAATCTAAGGCGCCAATTAATAGTAGAATAAATTACTATTACGGTAAATACGCACAATAGTGGAAATTTATCATGTAAGCTGAATCAGAGCTGCGACGATATTAATTTTTTTAGGCATTTTTTAGGCATTCTGGAACAGTTTGTTTAAAAAATTTGTTAGATTGAGCTAACCATCTGTATAATTTTGCAACAAAGCAATATATTTTTAGCTTCCTAGCATGTGCTAGGTAGCTATTGCGATAGCCGTTTTTTGAACATTTCAAAATTTCATCAAATGTCGACGTTTTAGAGCATTTTAAGCAACTTTTAAAGAATAAAATTTTTTTCCGTCTGTATGTACGTACGTACGTACGTACGTTTGTTGGCAATTTTCTGAGAAAACGGCTCGACGGATTTTGTTGAAATTTTGTATATATGTTTTAGGCATACCGAACAGAAAAATAACGGGCCGGATTTTTGAAAAGAAATTTTGGAGCGCCGTAACGGCATCGAACTTTTTTTTTCAAATAGCAACCTAAAATTTTTATTCTATTATTTGGAAGACCTTATTTTCCTGTGTACAACCTACAAAAAATTGGGCCGGGTTATATTATCAAAAAACGGAGAAAAAAATGGTCAAAGTCAAAAAATTGTGTTGCATATGTGCAAAACGCAACGATCTTGTTTCTGAAGCAATTTAAACGAAATTTCTATGGTAAGTCCCTTTAATTCATGCGCAAAAATCGTGTTGCACATGCGCAGAAATGCAATTTTCTTATTTATGGAACATTAGCTATATGTTGGCAATTTTTGGTTTCAGCTAGGAAGCTATTCTGTCAAGAATTTGACACCTGGTTAAAAGAAAAGAAACACTCTTCTCTCCCGTAATATGTTTTTACATAGGAATATACAAATTTGGAACCTATACCTTCAGTCTCGCTTTCTGGTAATTGTCAAAAATCATCCGAAATCACGAAAAAGTGAGTAGTGTGGTATAGATATGGTCGTTGAAATCACATGGTGGAGACAGTTTTTCGGTTTTTTCGGGAATATATTAAATCAGTTTTTCTAAGAAAGCAGTATTGATATTACACGGTTTCTATGCCCATAATTTCTCCTAATTTTTGTAGATCATGACTACACAGAATTTGGGCATACAACAAAACATTAACAAAGAAAAAAACTTTAAGCGTTTGAAAGCAACATATATTGGTGTAAATGAGGCGGAGAGGCCATTCAATGGAGCTCGATCGTCGAGTTAAAGTAATCGTGTGCAATTCTGCCAAGCATTTGTTAATTATATTAAGGAGTACGTAATTTTCATTTAACACTCCTTAATTGAATTAAATACATAATAATTTGTACGTAGCTTCTATAATTCAGGAAACCTACGTATGGCCCAATTGCCTCGAAATAAATACTTAAATGCGTAATTTAGGGAAATATGCCGTCAAATGCCGTAAATATGCATCAAGCTTACATAAATTATATCAAATTTTGCCGAAAGATTAATTTCCTTTTGCTTGTCTGTATATATTTTAATTTTACCATTTCATGCCCATAAATTGAGTATTTCAGAGAAATTTGTACTGGTTCGAGGGTAGTTGTAAAAAGTTTACTACAGCTGTCAGTGAGGCCAGAATTGAGCCTTAAACTTTGGTTCTTTAAACCGCAGGTCATTTCAGTGCACGTTTCCGTGGCGAATCGGCCCTGAGTACTGTGACTTATCTGTGCGTTCGTAGTAGACCGAAGATGAAGAGCTCAGTCGACGCAAAACGAGTGAGTATAACCTTGCCACATCCGACTTCACACTTACCGGAAAGCATAAAGTTGCATACAAAGCCAATCTGACCCAAAAGATGGAGAATCGGAAATGTTTGGAACAAAACACCGTTTCGGGCACTCAGGTTTTCTACTTTCGAAACGCGTAGAATGTCGATTAATTGCTTCGCTGATAAAGAGATAAAGAGACGTAACTCCCTCTCCAATAAAAATAATTTAAAATGGTGCATAGTCACCATGTTGGAAGTTATAACTGCCCATTTTATGTCAAAAAGTAGTACATATTTTGTATCTTACTCCCCCCCCCCCCCCCAATTCACCAATTTAAAATTGTATCTCAAATCGTTTCCAATTTAGAAAGGGAGTAGGACTATTTACCGTTCACACTATATTTTGCTGTGGAACTAATCAGTATACCCAGTATGACCCAGACAAAGGAACAAAACGTTAAAGTCACGCAGAACTTCAGGAATGACAACTAAACATTAACACAAAATTTAGATACTTACCGTTTTACTACGACTATTACGCCTCGGTTTGCCCAAACTAACATAAAACTCAAAATTTACCGGTTCGTAGACACACGTGACGTTTTTTAAAACAATTACAATAAACTGAAATCTAAAATGAACCCCAAAGTTTCCCAAGCAATTACCGAAAACTAACATTAATCTACTCCGGAACAAATTTAATGTTAAAATAACAGAAAAAAATACGCAAATGTCATTTACTGTGTTTTTACAGCATGTTCTCTAATCGAACACACTTAAATTTATCATACCTGCATAATTTTATACAATAATACGGCTAAAAAATATTCTTAACAGATAATAATTTAAGAAAGGAAAACACCTGAAGATTATATGCAATTTAAACATCTTACCAAATTAAAAAAAGCAATTATTTTATACGCCCATTTGGTTTACATTTATTTTAATCAAGGATGAAACCTACACATGGCGGACTAAGCAAAACTACCATCAGTAGCAAATCTGTCATTCAGTTTAATTGATGCCCTTATTAAGTTCTATAAAGTTTGATTAAGTATCTGTAGCAAGGATTTGTGTTGATTAATATAAATATGCTACTTAGCTATTTTACCAGTTTCTAACACTTGTGTTTATTTTCAGATCGCAGTCCCAACATGCATCGATCAAATCTGAAAGTATCTTCGACGACTGAAAGGGACAACGTTGTTGTCGGCTGCTGGACTAATACCTAAATTAATGTTCAAAATTAGACGAAAAAACGCACAGTTATGAATAAAAAAGACACCATCAGTTCAATTTAAAAGTAAAATCAGAAAAAATACACAGATTATACTCATACATATTTATTGAAGAAGCTCCGCTATATTCACTTTCGAGGGAAAGAGTGATGCTGCATTGCCCTAGATACATTAATTATAATTGCTTAAAAGAAATGCGAGAATGGTGACAAATGTAAAAATGAACATCACCAATTAGATATTCTTCGTATGGAGCCCAATACGTCGAACGAATTTACAAACGGAACGCAGTATGTGAATGTAACCGATATCGAATTATCAATATACACGCCATTCGAATCTATCGTAATAACAATAATACTGGTAATTGTGATACTCGTAACGATAATAGGAAATATTTTGGTGTGCGTGGCTGTGTGTTTAGTGAGAAAACTAAGAAGACCTTGCAATTATTTGTTAGTGAGTTTGGCAGTTAGCGATTTGTGCGTCGCTATATTAGTTATGCCAATGGCGATGTTTTATGAGATAAAGGGTAAATGGATATTTGGGGAAATAGTTTGTAATTTGTGGGTTAGTTTCGACGTGCTTAGTTGTACAGCGTCTATTCTGAACTTGTGTATGATTAGTGTCGATCGTTATTACGCGATTACGAAACCTCTGGAGTACGGGGTGAAAAGAACGCCTAAAAGAATGTTATTCTGTGTCTTTCTAGTTTGGTTCGGTTCCGCCTGTATCTCGCTACCTCCATTACTGATACTAGGCAACGAGCACAGCATCACCGAGAACGATAAAACTAACGACGAGGTCTGCATTGTATGCCAGTCCTTCGGTTATCAACTTTACGCGACGCTCTGCAGCTTTTACATCCCTTTGGCGGTCATGATGGTCGTGTATTATAAAATATTTCGCGCCGCCAGGAGAATAGTTTTGGACGAGAAGAGGGCACAAAGTCATTTAGAGGCGCATTGTTATTTGGAAATAAGCGTCAAGAATGGAGGGGGTCCTCCCGAGAATAGGATATCCAGTCACAGCCCTTCGCCGGGAAATCTCAACAGGAGCAATCACAGATCCAGCTCGGCGAGCTCGACCACTATGGTAAATATTGCACTATGCTTATACCTATTATAATTCCACTTAATTAAAATTCCCTGTTTAGACGGACAGAGGGGATAAAATTTTAATTACGATCGTGCAAATTTCCATTAGTTGGGTATTTATTATTTTTCTTAGGGATTCTGCAAGCGTCCGTAGAAGTATCTATTTTAAAGGTTGTTTCGCGTAAAATGTGCCATGCTGTAACGGATGAAATGGTGCTATCAATGCTAGATGCATTTTGTATTGCGCCATTATCTTATTTATAGTTTCTCTGGTAATTCGTACTGGTCCAAAGCTCGTTTAGAAAGCTCGAAGGGAAAATAAAACTCGTTTTTATCTCATTAAGGTAGAGAAATGCAGGACACGTACAGAGAAAAACGAAAATGATACTTTTAATTAATGATATTTAAAGTGAAATGGAATGGTTCCATATTCAAGTAGGTACCAGTTCGTTGTCTCACTATTGATCGGTAATTTTCCATCAGGATTTTATGTGCTCATTTTATTATCCAGCAATACTGTACATTAAATACGAGTAAAGCAAATATATTAAATATCACGTCTTAATATATGAACCGGGTACGGCTGGATTAAGTTAGCACACCAGAATCGGCACTCCAATTTGTTATATCGCAAACAAAATTTTCCGTTGCAGATCCAACTTAATGCTAAAACAACATGATTCTCGTTTCTATATGGCACTAATACCACCGTTTTGTGCTTGTGCAATTTCTGCAGTTGGTCCAGTGTGCTACGTTTAGGTTTGGGTTCTCGTTCAGGTTTGGGTTCACGCCAACCTTTGACCTTGAACGGTGAGGAATGGACTTTGAACGCCCCCCAACCTCTGCACTTTGAAGAGCCGGCAACCTTTGGACTTTGAACGTTCAACAAACTGTGTGAACTTTGAAACGGCGACCGACCTTTGAACTTTGAACGATAGTTGTAGTTTTAGTATGGTCATTGGTCGAAGTTGTAAGTGTGTGCTGTGCATGCCCTGTCACTATCTTGACGCGCCAAATCTTGACGCGTAGTAGACCAGTCGGTTTTGTCGCAGTCATACTGTACATTAAATACAAGTTATAGCAAATATATTAATATCACGTCTTAATATGGGAGCCGGGCACGACTGGATTAAGTTAGTACACCTGAATCGGCACTCCAATTTGTTATAACGCCAAAATATTGTGCTCATTTTGCGCGCTTCTCGTTTACGAGAAAACAAAGTTTTCCGTTGCAGATCCAACTTAATGTTAGAACAACATCATTCTCGTATCTATATGACACTAATACCCCAGTTTTGTGCTTGTGCAATTTCTGCAGTTGGTCCGGAGTGCTACGTTTAGGTTTTGGTTCGCGGCAACCTTTGGACTTGAACGGTGAGGAATGTACTTTAAACGCCCCCCAACCTCTGCACTTTGAACAGCCGGCAACCTTTGGACTTTGAACTCTCAACAAACTGTGTGAACTTTGAAACGGCGACAGACCTTTGAACTTTGAACGGTAGTTGTAGTTTTAGTATGGTCATTAGTCAAAGTTGTAAGTGTATGCATGCCCTGTCACTATCTTGACGCACCAAATCTTGACGCGTAGTAGACCAGTCAGTTTTGTCGCAGTCATACTGTACATTAAATACGAGTTTTAGCAAATATATTAATATCACGTCTATATATGGGAGCCGGGCACGACTGGATTAAGTTAGTACACCTGAATCGGCACTTCAATTTGTTGTAACGCCAAAATATTGTGCTCATTTTGTGCGTTTCTCGTTTACGAGAAAACAAAACTTTCCGTTGCAGATCCAACTTAATGCTAGAACATCATTCTCGTTTCTATATGACACTAATACCACAGTTTTGTGCTTGCGCAATTTCTGCAGTTGGTCCGGAGTGCTACGTTTAGGTTTGGGTTCTCGTTTAGATTTGGGTTCGCGGCAACCTTTGGACTTGAACGGTGAGGAATGGACTTTGAACGCCCCCCAACCTCTGCACTTTGAACAGCCGGCAACCTTTGGACTTTGAACGCTCCACAAACTGTGTGTACTTTGAAACGGCGACCGACCTTTGGACTTTGAACGGTAGTTGAAGTTTTAGTATGGTCATTGGTCCGTCTTTGAAGTTGTAAGTGTGTTAGGTACCTTAATTATGCGTTTTCAACAAAAAAAAAAATGCAGAGGAAGCCCTAAATTTTCCACTATCTTAATAAAAAGTTGACTTACTTTCATCTAATGTTATATTACTTCATATTTCCTACAAATTCGTAATTATTCTTAAATTGAGAAAACTTCGCAATTGTCAGAAGTGGCACCTTAATGTTTTTGTGTGAGGTTATGTTAACTTCTTGGTCTACTAAATTGAAATATGCTGGGTTTAACGTGAATAATTAACAGTTAATCTAATAAAACTAATATAATAAGTATAATGCGCAATACAATTTTAGGATTACTTAAATATTTAATCAAATTTAATAAAACCACTTTTGAAAGCACACACAGTCTTAACTTGAACGCCTTAGAGAAGAAGAACTCATAGAGGGGGTCATATTTTGTCCTTCCCGTATAGACCACCACATAAGCTCATTGAAAGGGGCACCTTTCGCATCCTGTATGCGCCACCTTTTTGCATCGAACGCTTTTTCCGTATGAATCGCCGATTAGCCTCAACCGCCTTATACGTCCGAGAGGGGAAGGGCACCTCACCCATCTTTCGTGGACCGCCTTTCCATCAACATTTTCTAATATTTTTATCAAAATATTGCCAAAACATCGCACATCGTCCTTAAAAAATTGAAGTTAAACACTCGGGACACTTACCAACATAAAAATAATAATGATATGTAGTAACATAACCACACAACTTCTTATTAAGATTGTGGACAATTGAGGGCTTCTTCCGCAACTTTTTTTGTTGAAAACGCTTAATTAAGATACCCTTAACAGTTTTTATCAATTTCATGCTCGTAGCTCGGGGTCCATATAACGCTATGTAACCCGATTGTTTATTGTTGAGTCTAGTGTACCCAAGTTAACACTACTCAATGTATAACACCGCTCCTCTCCTAGTCTTGAAAGCGACTCGGCATTCCGACGTTCCTCCGTTGCCTTTGCATGTTCTCCTCTAGTCGTTCCTCCTGAACTAGGTTTTTTTCAGTAGGTAGATTATCCGCTCTGACTTCATCGGTGTCTCGGGTCATTCGTGACGTTTCTACGTAGATGATTGTACATATCGCTTCCAGTTTTTCCAGTTTCATCGACAGTTTGATAGGTCACTCACTGCCTTCACCTGCCATTTGTGATCCGTAATGATGTCAAAATGCCGGCCATGGCAATAATTGTGAAACCTTTTCACTCCCACGATTATTGCTAGAGCTTCCACGTCCAATTGACTGTATCTGCGCTCCGTCCGGTTTATTGATTTTGAATGGGATGGAAGCTTCTCTGCTGTTTTCTTCCACATGACTCAGCACTACTCCTATTGCCCAAGTAGATGCATTACACGGCGTAGTGAAGCAACAACTGTTTCAACGAGAGCAACCCTTTGACATTTTTCGTGGGTTCTTATATGAATCTTATCTTATATGAATGTGTTAACATTGAAAATGTTAATGTTCGTGTATGGGTACAAAGGTATGAGTTTCGTCCAAGGTCAAAAGACAACTGTGTCGCTTCAAGTGACAACTGTACCATAGTTGGCCGTGATCGGTAGGTAAAGGAAAAGTCGCATTTAATAGTGTTAAGACCATGTTATGGCGCTTACCATTCAGGAGGTTTACGTACCTTCTGATAGTGAATAAGAGTTATAATTTTTTTTATAATCCAAATAATTGAGTCGTAAAAGGTTTGCGATATTCAGGCGCACTTATCAAAGACACAAAAACACTCGCTGATAGCTTTTTTTTATTAAATTGGATTTTGAGAAATTTTCGGTGGCTCTTCGAGCGGTAGAAACATTTAACTTTTAATGAAAGCAAACCTTTTTAGGTCACTAAGCAAACAACTGGTTTGTTTCCTCACCGTCGAACTAACTTTTTCCAAATACAGATAGATCGTTTTATTAAGAGCATTTAATTTCTTCTTCGAAACGTATGAACTGCGTCTTCAACAAAACAAATAGGGCTGACTGCCCGTAAATTAGTAAACAAATTTACACGCTCTTTTGCCGTCGTGGAGCTCGCAGCCTCGTTTTCACATTGTTTCCAGTATTTAAAGAAACACCACTTACACGATAAGATAAACTCCTTGAGGATTTTCTAAAACACCGCCAATCACAATTAGACTTAATATCGCCAACTTCGAAGGAATGCGTCCCCATTTACGCCAAAAATAACCCGCACATCGTAAAACACCTGCATCTCTTAACAACAATTAGAACACGTGCATTAGTTCCTGATAAAACTAGTTATCGCAAACGACCAGGTGTGTCTTCTTATCTAAATTGAATAAATTACAAAAGCGATAAAATATAAACAAACAATTCTAAAAGGGAAGCAACACTGAGACACAAATCCCATACATTAAACACACTTTGTGCTTATTCGTAAATAATCCCCCAGATTGACTCTTGATTAAATTTAAATATTCCCGTACATATACAGGCTGTCACATCATTACTATTCACACCGAAGCAACGTTCACATTACGTTCTTTATACAACAGTATATGTATCGCTCTTTGCAAAGACAAGAGTAGTATACTCAGAGGGAGCATCTTCTGGGAGCAAATACCTCGCAAACAAGTTTTCTATGGATCAAAAATTCCGGATGCGAGCTTTCTTGGGGCCAAACCTTCCGTGCGGTGACTATTCTGCGCGCGAATCTTCTGGGAGAAATTTTTCGGGGGTGAATGTTCCGGGGAAAAATTTCCCGTAGGCAAATTTTCCGATGACGAATCTTCTGAGAGCGAATTTTCCCAGGGGCGAATATTCTGGGGTTGAATCTTGCTGGGACGAATATTATTTATTCATCGGGGGTGAAATTACCGGGTCGTATTTTACGATGCGAATTTACTGTGAATGTTCCGGGTACAAATTTCCTAGGGG